GGAGATAACTCCTGAAGCAGAGCATGAATACAAGCCCTGCTATTTGCAGTGTAAGCAGGTAATTATACAGTGTAAGCAGGTAATTATGCAGTGTAAGCAGGTAATTATGCTGTGTAAGCAGGTAATTATGCAGTGTAAGCAGGTAATTATGCAGTGTAAGCAGGTAATTACATTGTGCATTTTATGTAATATTAAGTTGTTTTTTTTATCTTATATATTGTTTTTATAAAAAAACCTATTGTTGTTTTATAAAAGCAATATAATTTGGAAGATTGTTCCAAGGATTTGCTACTCTGTGAGTGAAAAAGTTATGATGTATTTTACAATTATTTGTTATTTCCCGGCGTAAGCGTTTACAATGACTGTACTTAGGTTCTGCTGTCAATGGTTCAACATGCTAGTTAACTCCATGCCAGTGTCAATTTTATTTTCAATTTTAAAATGCTGAATGCAATCAAAACATGTTCTTTTAGTTGTTAAAGTGCCTAAATTAAGGAGGTGCAAGCGATCTTCATAGCAGAATTTTTTTAGACTGTGAGGCACCTTGGTAGCTCTTTTTTGAATACATTCAATGCGTTTCACTGCTAATTTTGAATAATTATTACACGATGAGTCACAAATTCTAAATGCAGTCTGATATAAACTGTGTATAATTTCTTCCATAGTTTTTTGTCTCTGCTAATGAATGAATTTTTCATCCATCCTATGTTACTAGCTTTTGATACAATTTCCGAAGGGATTGTATCCCACTTGCCATTTGATGTAATCGTAATGCCGAGATCATGCTCCTTTTCAAATTTCAAAATGGAGTTGCAGCATTAAACATGCAGTAATTATTTTGAGGGTTGTTTTTATCCATATGCATCACTTTGCATTTTTTGTTCAATACATGAAGTTCAGCTTCATGTACCATTTTTCAGACAATATAGTAATAGCATTTAAATCAAGCTGTAGCTTGTCTGAACCTGAAGCATCTTTAATTGGAGTAATTGCAATAATTTTGCAGTCATCTGCATACAACTTAAAAGGGAAGTAATTAATAACTGACTGTAAATTGTTTATAAAAAGGATGAACAAAAGTGGAACCAAAATGCTACCCTGTGGTACGCTACTAGTTATGTCTGCCTAGCTGGACTCGCACTCACCGAGAACAACTCTCTGGTTTCGATTAGTACGAAAGTCACCAATCCAGCAAAACAGTTTTCCAGAGATCCCAAATGCTTTTAGTTTGTGCATAAGATGTTGATGCGGCACAGTGTCAAAGCCTTGGCAAAGTCAAGAAAAGTTATTTCAACACACTGCTTGTGTTGAAGTAACAATATCCATGGGCTTTAAAAGGTTGGTGACACAGGATTTATTCCTAACAAATCCGTTCTGCAATAAGACCACTTAGATCGTTGTATAAATGATTTAAAATTGTGTCTTAAATGTTTTTCTAACAAAACATATTTACTCAATGAGAAAAATTTTGTAACATTGTGATGCGTTCTTAAAAATAAGCAAAGCATCTCAGTCAACTTTTTTTATTTCAAAATTCATATTTTTGAAGTCTGCTAGTTTATAGTTCAAGTTCTACTGCACAAAAAGAGGTCTTTTTATAGTTACGGTGGTAGCTAGATGCCATTCAATAGAGAGGTGGTATTGGTTGGAGGTATTACAAAGTGGAGGAAGAGGCTCGATATTGTATACGCGGTGGCCAGTATTATATCTAAAAAACTTTTATTTTTGCTGCTTGAGTTTCAGAATGATGGAAAATTATTCACTTGAAAAATATAGTAATCTTCCAGAATATGTACAAATTGATGTTCTGACAAAGTGCTGCCTATTTATGCATATGCAACACCTTCATTCAGTGTTAATGTATTAAAATTGAAATCTCGGGCTAAGCACATACCACTAAACATTTTATTCTTGACTGCATCATATGCCAAAACTTATGATGCTAAAAGTGTTTGTTCAAGGTTTAAGCGGGTGATTAAATCATCATTGTGTTTATGAGGAGTCTATAAATACACCCAAGCAAAATGTTCTCTTCGCTTAATTTTACAGAACACCATGTTTGTTCAACAGCTTTACAGTTTAATTGATGCATATTAACTTTAAACGATTTTATTTTGTCATTTACATAGATTGCAACACCACCTCCACGACCTTCCCTGTTACTGCAGTATATTTTTTTAGCCATGCAAGTGCTTTGATATTAGCCCAAGTTTCAGTCATAAAAATAACATCATAATTAAAAGTGTGTGTTATGGCTTCAAGCAGAAAAAATTTGTTTTTCAGTAAACAATCATTTGTGTAGTAACAGTATAAATGATTTGAATTAATTTCTTGGCTTATAAAAATTTAATAGCTTGTTTGAACAGTTATGGGCTGATGTAGATGGTTTTATAGTATCATTGATATCATTGTGTATTGATTGGTTTTGAGCGTGCAATATGGACTTTTTGCCATTCAACAAATGGTTGTATTGAATGGCTGTTGATTTCATGGGTCTTAGATACATTGATGCAGCAGACCCTGTCACTGCTGATGACAAAATCGAAATGGGTTATCAAGATTACAATGTTTTTCAAGTTTGCTGTTTGCCATATTCCTTTCAATGTTAAGTTTATTAAACACAGCTTGTTCCGCATTTGTGTTCGATCAGGTCTGATAAAAGTATTCTTGTGTTCAGTTTTGGAAAGATTGGATGTTACTGCTAGTACCATATTTCTCAATTCTATACTTTTAAATTCCACAATAATTGAGTTTTGGCTGTTTCTGGCATTAGAGCCGTTTGTTACATTGTTGGTTGAACTAAATTTGGGCTTTATTCTACAAGTCGATACAATTTTGGAGTTGACTTTTTAAAATGATATTATTTTTTCACTTTTTCAGTAGTTATGAATTCGAAGGCAACCTGGTATGTATCTGAAGGAAGCATGCCTACAAATATAGCTTTTTTAGCTTTATTTTCAGTTGCTTTATCATTTGCAGATATTGCACTAACGAGTGCTGTGTTAGCTTGGGATTCTGGCTTAGCTAAGGATGTATTTTGAAATCTTACTATAAGTGTCATTTAAACAAACTTTTTTTTCAAGTTTGTTTAAATGACACTTATAGTAAGGTTTCAAATTATTTCAAGTTTCAATTTCAAATCATTGATTACAACTTCAATGAGAATTTGCTCCAGATTGTCAATTCTCTCCATTAGCTCTGTTTTGACTTGGTTAATTGCAAAAGCAATTAGTTCTTTTACTTTCTTTTCTTGGTTTGATTGAGGAGCCATTTGATCTTGATAAGAAGGCTAAACACTCTTATCAGTGGTTTACCTTCTGGTTGTTATCAGTGGTTTACCTTCTGGTTGTATCAGTGGTTTACCTTCTGGTTGTTATCAGTGGTTTACCTTCTGGTTGTTATCAGTGGTTTACCTTCTGGTTGTTATCAGTGGTTTACCTTCTGGTTGTTATCAGAGGTTTACCTTCTGGTTGTTATCAGTGGTTTACCTTCTGGTTGTTATCAGTGGTTTACCTTCTGGTTGTTATCAGTGGTTTACCTTCTGGTTGTGAAATATTAAATTATTAGAACAAATAACACAAATAAGAGAAGTTGAACAAATAACACAAATAAGAGAAGTTTAGATGTGTTTTTTTTTTTTGCTTTGTCTAATTTGTCCAAATATTTATAAAAGATTTCAGAAGATAGCTCAGTTCAAATGTTAGTTACTATTTTTTTTTTATTATTTCTGTTTAAAAACTTGGCACCGACATTGGTGAAGATACCCTTAAGTCAATTCAAATCATTATTGATTTTTTAATTAAAATATTTAGTTGATAAAAGGATATATGAAAAAAATGAAAAACGAAAAAATTGAAGAAAAAAAAAGTTAAAAAAGAAAAATTTGAGTTGAGTACTTTTATAAATTTACTTTGAATTTTAAATTAAAAAAAAAACTGTTTTTGCTTCATTGATTTAAACTTGTCTTCTTATAACACTCATGCAAATTGGAAAGGATTTGAATAAGAAATTAAAGATGGTAAGAATTCCTTATTCATAGAAGTGTTTAAAGAAGGATAACAAAAAGTGAAATGTCAAAAGCTCTGTGTTTCTTTCCTATTTTTTTTTTTACCTATGAACCTTGTAGAAACCATGTTCTTTAGATTTGAGAGAAAAAATTTATCAGTCATCTAAATAGTAGATTATTATTGTCGTTTTTATTATCATTGTTGTTATTATTATTATTATTATTATTATTATTATTATTATTATTATTATTATTATTATTATTATTATTGTTATTATTTTTATATTGCTGTTTTTTTGTGTATATATTTACATATAAATATATTTTTCATTATTATTTTTAATTATTATTACTTTGATGAATAATTACTTATATTTTTTAATTTGTTAAAAAAATATTTTTCTTTTTTTGTTTGTTTTTTAATAAATATATTTTAACTAAAATAATTTAAAATACCATTCTTAAAATCTTTACTATTGTTTCTAAACTTCACAAATATATTTATATTTTTTTGATATTAACTCAAAACTTATAAAGCTTTTCCTCTACAATAATTTTTTTTTGATATTAACTTAAAACTTATAAAGCTTTTCCTCTACAATAATTTTTTTTGATATTCACTTAAAACTTATAAAGCTTTTCCTCTACAATAATTTTTTTTTGATATTAACTTAAAACTTATAAAGCTTTTCCTCTACAATAATTTTTTTTTGATATTAACTTAAAACTTATAAAGCTTTTCCTCTACAATAATTTTTTTTTGATATTAACTTAAAACTTATAAAGCTTTTCCTCTACAATAATTTTTTTTTGATATTAACTTAAAACTTATAAAGCTTTTCCTCTACAATAATTTTTTTTTGATATTAACTTAAAACTTATAAAGCTTTTCCTCTACAATAATTTTTTTTTTTCAATGATGATTATATCATCCATAGTTATAGCGTGAGAAAGTGAGAGAATATGATTGTAATAGTTTGTTTTGTTATTTTAGATGGAGTTGTAACTTATAAAAAGGTAAAATTATAGTTTTTTTTTTTTTAACAGTTTGTTATTATTATTACTATTATTGTTATTAGTATTTTTTTAAAGTTGTAAAAGTTATTGAAAAGATGGTATGACAAATCTATTTTTACTTTTTATTATCCCAACATTAACAACCAATATTAAGTAATAATACTAATACAATAATCAATATTATCATTATCAGCATTGATATTTTGTTTTACAAAATATAAAAAGGCTCTGGTATGGGTTAGTATTATTTTTTGAAAATTTGAAGATATCACAAAAATAAGGATGAAGACCGCATGGTATCAGGATAAACAAGACATCAAAAGAATAAGAGAGTGAATAGTGACAATCATAGGGTGAAGATAATCGAAGGATGGAGCAGATAGTGAAAATAATTGAATTAGATGGAACAGTTTTGTAATTAATTAGACTGAATAATGTTTCTAAATATTGTTTTGACATTTGATTTTGATTAATGGAAATTAATAATGAAATATTAAAGTTCATTAAGATTATTTAAGAATTTATGAATCTAATTGTGGTACAAAGAATCATGAATCTATTGATGCAAATGTTGTGTTCAGACCATTTTTTCTGCTTAATTACATCTTTTAAATAGTTTCATCTTTCGAGTAGTTACATTAAAATTATAGCATCATAGTTTTATCTTTTGCAATTTTAAAGAGAAACTTAACAGCAAGCATATTGAATTTTTAGAATTACTGAATTAAAAGAGGGTGAGATTTAAAGTGTAAGTTGTAAGTGGCAGTTTGAAAGTTCAGAAAGTTAAAAGTGCAGGGTGTAGAGAAAAGAAAAAATTGTTTTAATGTATTGCTAATGGTCTAGTAGTAGTGAAAAATACTTGGAAATGAAAGAAGCAATTCTATTTAATGTGTATTTATTACAATATTTTAATGTATATTTATTATAAATTTTAGGAACAGAATGATAAAGACTTACTTTCACCTAAACGTAATCTAAATACAAAAGCCAAAGAATTTTTATTAGATAAAAGAAATCGTGTGTCAATGAGACCATCAAGCCCAAACATTATTCATGAAAAAGTAAGTATACCTAATTATATAAATTAGAGAGAAAGAGACATAAATATATCTTTTTTTTAACTGATTATAGGAAAAAAAAGAAAAAAATCGTTGGATGCTGTTTAACAAACCAAAACGAAGTGCTGACCACAGCAATCAAGAACCATACAACGCAATGCAACACCATACGCAATACAACAACGTACTGGGTGTAAATATAAATAGGACAGAGACATTGACAAAATCAAGAAGTTTAGAATCTTTAAAGGACTCGATTAAAGATAGTCAAAATGAGGTAAGCTGTATATATATATATATATATATATACATATATATATATATATATATATATATATATATATATATATATATATATATATATATATATATATATATATATATATATATGTATATATATATATATATATATATATACATATATATATATATATATATATATATATATATATATATAATATATAAATATATATATATATATATATATATATATATATATATATATATATATATATATATATATATATATATATATATATATATATATATATATATATATATATATATATATATATATATATATATATATATATATATATATATATATATATATATATGTAATGGTAATGTGGAGTTAATTAACCATATTACCATTTTTAGTTAAAAGTGGTCCATGAGGACAATATAACTGGCGATCATGATTATGCTGAAATAAAAGATATTATAAGAATGATTAGGCAGCCTGCTCTAGCAAATTTAGATAGTGTTGAAAACTCATTTTGCGTCAATGAAGCGGAATCATCTTTAAATAATAGTGCACAACAAGAACAAATATTAGAAGAATTACAACCGGGTTTTTCTAACGAAATTTGTGACCAGCAAGACGAGTTTACACAAATCAGACACCGTGCAAGTACCACAGACAAATTGAGTCGTCTTGAGAAAAGACTTTCAATTTTAAACGATGATGACAATTCCTCAACTTCAATTAAAGCAATGGTTCGTAAAGTAAGCAATGCATTTGGCAATCCTGTGCAGCCATTTGAAACTTCTCTTAAGGGGTCTGTTATTTCGCCTGGAAATGTTTCTAATGTCTCTAGGGATTTAAGTATACTTTTGGGAAACTCTTTGGATAAAACTAGATATCGCTATAGTGTTGGCAGTTTGCAAAATTCTTTTTTCAGAGCGCCCCTTGAAAGATCTCGATCGCTTACATCATTTAAAGAAATTACTGGCAAAAAAGAATCTTCTTCAGAAAATCAACTTTTATCAGTTTCAAAGATAAGTTTAAGCTCTAATGAGGATCAATCTTGCTCAGAAGACGTTGACGATGTCGTTGACGTTGACGATGTCTTGGAAAGTATTAAACATGAATTAGGAAGTATTGTGAAAAATAATGACAAAGTGTCTATGAGACCAACGAGCCGCCAACAAGCTGCAGTGAGACCTCTATCAGCCTTTGAAACAACTTTAGAACTTTCTAAGAAAGAACCATTGTTTATCTCTTCAAGCTGTACAGCTATTGATATTAACGCAAGAGCAGCAGCAGTTGACGAGCGTTTGAAGAAAGCAAATCCTGAAACAGCCTCTCTAGATACAGTAAGAGAATTAAACGTAGAAGTTAAACGTGTAGCTGATCGAATCAGAGAGTATAAAAAGCTAATAGATGCCGAGAAAAAAGTAAGACCTTTAAAAGTAAATGAACCATTGTCAGAAATGATTGAGTCTTTGGATTCTATAAAGCAATCACCGATTGCCTCGTCTACAACTTATTCATATCATAGAAAACGCTTTTCTCGACCCCCTAGTATTTTAAATCAAAATGATGTTTTTGAGTTAGAAGCTGAAAGTTTGGAACAAAGCAGTCAAACAAATGACCTTTTGTCGCAAATTGAAAATAAGCCTGATCACGTACTTGAAAAAATATATACACACAAGCCATCAAGTATTGTTACACTTAAAAATGAAGAAACGGGTATTCCTCCTTTGCAAGAAAAAAATAAATATGATGATAAAACTATCGAGGAAAAACGCGTTTTCTTTTCCGAAAAGAGGAAAGCTAAATCGTTTAACGAAACATTAAATAGTGACGAATATATTCAAAATTCTAAAATCATGTCGGTTAACGCTACCTCAATTCATAAAGATATGCCTAATCAGCGTATTTTAATTCGAACACCCTCATTACCTCAAATGGATAAAAACTCATATAAGTTAAAAACTTCTAATATCCGTGTTAAATCTCGTCGCAATTCTGCGTCTTCTTTATCTATAAACAATGAAAACGATGACAATCATATTCGTGGTCGTGTTCAAATCAGACATTTACCAAATAACTCTAGTGAAAACGAGGTATCGCCAAAGGTGAACCGGCTTTTTGTTAAGAGAAAAAGCTTTTATCGAAGTGCTTCATTACCAAGACGGTCTTATAAAGTAGAATTTAATGATACAAAAGAAAAAACTGATGTCATACAAGACGTGACATGGTCGCCGTCTGCTTATTGTAATCAACAAAACTTGGTTAATGATCGTATAAAGCAGTATTTTACGAACTTGCAAACTGCATCAAAAATTTCCACAAGTAGACCAAGACTTTTATTAGTTGGAAGTTACGATTCTGACAGTGATACTTCATCTGATGGACATATTCCTTTCAAAACTAGTAATTCTCTCTGTGACAATGAAGTTGTACAAAACGACAATCCTGATCATATAATGAAAGGAACGGTGAGAAGTATGATCAAAAAGTATGCCGCTAATTATGTTTTTGATAAATAATAGTTTGTAATATTTTTTAAAAAAGATTTTTGTAATATTTATTATTGTTATTGTTAATATTAAACAGCGAAAAATATACAGCTGTTGTTGTTGTTTTTTAGCACTATGTTTTACCTTACTAAACGTTTGTTTAAAATTTTTTCCCATTTTTCGGTAATTATTATAGAGAAATATGTGAAATATATCCACGAAGCTGTTGAATAATCCGCAAACAGTCAACGATCATTCGTAGTAAATAAAAAATTTCAGAACCAAAAAACATTTTCTAGGTCTACACTATTGACATTTTCTAACACGCCGTAATTCGGATCTCTTATAGCCAAATCATCATCGAAATCATATTTATTTTTATAATTACCTATAGTTGACAAATAATTTTAATATTTTTACGATAATTCACAGTGGAAAATTACACGGCTAACAACCAAACAAGTGACAAGATTTTTTAAGTTAAGAAGATTTAAAATGACCTCTTGAAAAAATCTTTTTTTAATAAAGTTTCTCATGATGCAAGGAATGTAATAGTTATTATTTTTTTATGATATAAATCAATAAAATATCGTCGTACGATATAGTAATACGCCATAGAAAAGATTATCAAAAGGTTGTCAAATTGAGGTTAGTAACTAACATCAAATTTTTTTCAACAACATATTAGATAATCGTTACAACCTATTTGACAACCTTATGATAATCTTTTCGATGACGTATTACTACGCACGACTATATTTCATTGATTTATATCATAAAATATAATAACTATTATATTCCTTGCATTGTAAGAAACTTTAAAAAAAGATTTTTTCAGGTCTTTTAAAATCTCATAAACTTAAAAAATCTTAGTGAGTACTATGGCTTTTAGCCGCGTAATTTTCCATTTTAGAGTTGTTAACCGGAAGATTTCGTACAATTCCGGAAAAATAAAATTCTTTCGGAAGGGTATTGAGAATCATTTTCGTACCGAACTCGACAAAACAAAAAAAACCGTTGTTGTTCATTTCGCAAATACGTCTTACTAAATGTAGTCTTTCGCAAGTTGAATTATGAACTAAAACTATTTTGCTACATACAAAAGTAGCGCTTACGGAAGTCCCACTTGCGAAACGAGCTCTTTCGCTAAACGACGCTTTGAAGTCAATATAGAAAGTTTGTTGACTAAATGGATATAATTGTAAAAAATAAAAATCTCATATACCAAAATGTTAAAAACGAAATTTTATTTTCAGTATTGGAACATATTAACATTTGAAGGTTTTATTTTTTGAAATAATGATAAAAAAAATGAAACGAAACTATTTCGCACCGCAGCTTGCGATACAGTTTTTAACGGAAAAAAACTTACGAAACGCGGCATCATAAATATATTTAATAACGTTTAATAAATCAAATACATATAATTAACTTAGTAACTAAGTAACTTAGTAACTAAGTTACTTAGTTACGTTACAACGTTACACCTTACAACGTTATCGGGGCTATACAATTGCTGAAAGTTTTAAAGCTCAATCTATTTTGGTGAAAAATTAATCGCAAGATTTTACAGAAAAAAAGCGGGCAAGTTCAAAACGACTCTTCCCCAGGTCTTCGCTCCTAGAAACAAAACATATCTTTAACATAGAAGATCACTATGACTATACAAGCGCCGAAAGTTTTAGAGCTGTGGCTAGTCTGAAAGGTAATGATAAATTAATTGCAAGATTCAGTAACGACCAAACAACACTTGAAGTTAAACTAAACTTTGTAATGGAACAAAATACTTTATTGGATTTTTATGTATGAGAGTATGAAAAGTAAATCTCCACATCTACATAGCCAAAAGCAACAAGCAACTAAAAGTTGGTACTTGAAATATATAAATATATATAAGCACTAGGGCTGTGACAGGGGGCAAAGGGAGGAAAATTTGAATATAAGTATATATACATATATATATATATATATATATATATATATATATATATATATATATATATATATATATATATATATATATATATATATATATATATATATATATATATATCGTAATTTTTCGTAAGTTTTGTTTATCGGCGAACAACGATTACTGTTTAATCATTGAAAAAAAAGGTATTATAAAGATTAAACTTTGATGGAAAAATTAATAAACTAAAATTGTTTTTTAATTCAGTCTCTCTTAATCTTAACAAAATTTCATTATTTTAACATTCCATATTGTCTACTAACTAGTAGATAGTAGTGTAGATTGAAACTACCCTGAGAATTGTACTAATATCATTTGAAAAATTTATAATCGTTTAACCTGTTTTTATTAAATCCTTTTTTATTCATAGCCAAAATAAAAGCAAATTTACTTGATAAACTAGAGAAAATTCGTAATCTAGGTATCTATGTTAGAGTTTTTGGTACTTTTTGTTTTAGAAGTTAATGCTAGGAAACTGTTATTCTATTTAATATCTACTTTTGAAAATATTATTTTCTGATTAAAACCAATAAAAAAAATGCGATTCCTTTTTGCTCAAATTTACGCGACAAGAAATAAATAAGGTTTAAGTTTTTTATTTTTTTTTATCTATTTGCGAAAAATTACGAAAAAATGTTTTTAAACATAAAATATTATTCTAGATTTTGTTCTAAACAGCACCGTTGGCAAAACTTACATAAAAAATAGACATTTAAAAAAAAAAGTTCGTTTGCATAAACATGCACTGCATAATTAAAGTCACTGTATAAAGGACTAAAATCATTAAAAAAACAACAACATATTATAATCATTCTAAAATAGTAGATCCCTGAAATTCTTTTAAAAATTTTGTTTCAATGATTTTACATCATTCAAAATTATCGTTTTTAAAAGTTTATTAATGTTTGTATTTATTTTGATTTATTTTGGACAAAAATAACCTTAACTTTATAATTTAACTTAGAAATAGTTTTCTAAAATTTTCCTAAAATTTTGCATTTGAAAATGTAATTTGTTCTAATTGAATGCTTTTCTTATATTCGAATTTCTTATCATTAAATGCTAACCATCGTTGATTGTTTATAGCCACTAAATCGATTAGAATGTTTAAAATACACTATTATAAAGTTCATAACAAATCATTATGACAATTGATGAAAATCCATAAGTTAGATTAATAAACAAAATTCCTACATCAATACATCATTACATTATCGTTACACATATTTAGGGGTTTTATTAATGTCTAAATTTAATTAAATGTAACAAGATATTGTCTAATCTTAAAGGGGCATTTCAAAATAATTGTTATTAGTTAATACCTGTTATTACATAGCATTAATATATACATGTTTATTAATATATACATGTTTAATAATATATACATGTTTAATAATATATACATGTTTAATAATATATACATGTTTAATAATATATACATGTTTATTAATATATACATCTTTTAAAGATTAAAAGATTTAACATTAATATATACAATATTAGTATATCAATTAATTCAATATTAGTATATCAATTAATTCAATATTAATATATTCAACATTAATATATCAATTAAAAGATTCAACATTAGCATATACATGTTTTCAAGAGTTAAAATGTGTTGCAGATGACTGCTTTGGTTATTGCCTTAATCCCAATGTCAAGCATTCTATTGCTAGATTGAAGTAGTTATATAGTAGAGTTATGCAAAAGATTATAATTACAACTTACCCCTAACATTGAAGGTCCTAATAGAGTTTGCAAAAGATTATAATTACAACTTACCCCTAACATTGAAGGTCCATGTTAGCACACATTGTTACTTTTATGAAGAAAATCAATGTGATCTCGCCAGATTTGTAGAACAAACTTAAGAAGCCATTTACTCCAAGTTTAAACAAACTTAGACGAGAAATAGAAGAGATGTAAGTCACAAGGACCATGGAGAGAACATGTATTCGGCAGTTTCCAACTTTTCATCAAGACAAAGATAACAGTATCTTGAATAAAATACTAATTAACTTTACAAATATCATTTGATAATTTTGTTTGATAAAGATCTGTAAAAATGTTTACTTTAATAGAAGTTATCATAAAATTTATCTTGTGATAAATATAGACAAAGAACGTACGATTGGATTCACACCTAATTAGAGAACTAGATGCACATCGTTACTGTTAGGGTTTACTAAAGTCAAAATTAAAAAAAAAGATTAAACATTTTTTAGCAGAAAAAGCGTAAAGATATTCTAAAATTAAATTTTCCCTCCAGCCTAAAAATGCACATTAAAATTTTTGAAAGATTCAATTTTAAATTTCGAAATGAATATAAATGAAAGCAAACAATATTTTGCAAAACTAGTATGATAAGCTAATTGTCGAATGTCATTAGTTTTTGAGTGTAGAAAGAATTTCTTAGCTTACCGGCCAGATTTACATATTAATATAAAAGAAAGATTCAATGGTAAGATTTATTTCAGTCTATTACAAGTTCTCTTAAACAATATAACCTATCTTATCAAGAATATTATAATACATTCAATTTATGCTTCTTATTTTTTATTAAATTTAATCTTTTGTAATGGAAACGTATTTATTGGTACTTATTGGTAGATTGGTAGACGTTATCTCTACTTATTGGTAGATTGGTAGACGTTTGCATAATTTAAGTAGCAATTTATTAGAAAAAAATTTTTTTTTTTTTTAAAGATAAATTTAGCAATTGTTTGATGTTGTACCTTACCCAGGACCGGCGCGAGTAGGTGTCACGTGGGGGGGGGGAGTGCTATTACAACTTTTGCTGTCTAAAAATAAAAAAATAAAAAATTCCTCGTTTTTTAAAATTTACCGACTGCCATAACGACATTTACCGACTGACTTTACCGACTAACCTATCGACAGGGTCTACATTTGCCGACTAACTAGTCAAAATGGGTCACATTTGCCGACTAAGGGTGAAATTTGCCGACTAAAAATCATTGATGGGGGGGGGGTCACACCCCCCGCGCCGGCCTTGACCTTACTTAGCAAAATGTTTTCGTTTTTTAGTATTAATACTGAAAAACAAAAACGTTTTGATTATAAGCGCAACAACTTTAAAATCATGATCAGCTACTTGAACTTTTTACATGTGA